GACTTGGCGCCACAAAACCTACAAGCTGAGCCATCTCACCAGCCAAAGCTCATATCTCTAGCTACATATTTCCTGTTGCTCTTTTTCTCTAGAGAACTCTCATTAATTTAATGGATCTATTCCAAGAAATAGCATCACATAGTTGTAGAAATGATCAGACTATTGTCTCCCCATTCTTATAATTAAAAAAAATGCCAAAAAATTCACAGAAGAGAAAAGCACTTACACTTTACTAAAAATAAAAAATAAAAAGAACATGAACAAAGTTATGTTAAAAAATTCATGCTATATAACTTACCATAAGAATATTAATTACTCTAATATATACACACAATTTTCCAAAACCAGTTCATTGGCATATGCCCTTTTCCAACAGTTAAGTGCAATTCTAGGAGAGAGAACCATTGCATCCCATATACATTTAACATTTATGGACATCTTTGTTGAAATCATTCCGTCAGAAATCAGAAGTCTCCTTTTTTGCTGGGTCATTTAATCACTGTGTTCCTTTATCACAGTGGGGGAAGAAGGAACTGTCTGTGCAGGTGGCAGACAAAGGTGGCCACTTAACTTATAGGAGGTGGGATTTTAAAACACAGGAAAAACTATGCATATTTGAGAATGAGATGGAGATTTTTAACTGTAGATTCTGGTTGACATCTCTTTCCAGCTGAGACAGTAAGAATTTGAACACAACTAACGTACTTACATTCTTTTCCCTCCTCCTAACCGGAAACCTAACAATTGTCTGGGAATATTACCAGAAACATCCTTGATATAATGCCATTACTAAAAGGAACTTAGGGAAGAAAGTGTTTATTTTTGCTTAGAGTTCCAGAGATGGATACAGTCCATCATTAAAGGAAGAAAATAAGCAAGAGACCAGTCTGGTGAAGAAACCAAATGATCACATTTCATTAGCACACAGGAGAGAGCAGGAGAGAGAGAGACAGAGAGAGAGAGAGAGAGAGAGAGAGAGACAGAGACAGAGACAGAGACAGAGACAGAGAGACAGAGAGAGACAGACAGACAGAGAGAGAGAGACAGAGACAGACAGAGACAGACAGAGACAGAGAGAGACACAGAGACAGAGAGAGACAGAGACAGAGACAGGAACAGACAGACAGAGACTAATAAGTAGGACCAGGCTATCAAATGTCAAAGTCCACCCAATTATGTACTTCCTCTAGCAAAGCTCTGCCTCCTAAAGATTCCAGGACCTTCCCAAGAAGTTCTATCTGTTGGTTACCAAGTGTTCAAACATGTAAGCCTATGAAAGGTATTTCACATTTAAACCATAACACGTGATTAATCTTATACACTGAACATATAGTTATGTATGTGTGTATTATGCATGCACATACACAGGTTGTTTAGGACTATGTCAAGTGCCACAAAATTTAAAAGCAAACTACTTCAGTTAACTAACAATATTGTGTTTTCATATTACAAATTTTGTTTTTACAAATGCTTCGAAAAAAGTTTGTTTTCTCACATTAAAATGTTTGTGGACAAAAGGGTAAATGAGAATTAAAGACGTCCAGTCTTACTCAGAAAAGATGGTCCTGGCACATGAGCAGCTAAAGCTAGAGGATTATGAGTTCAAGGTTTATGTCCAACACAAGAAATAAACCAAACACCTCAAAGAGAGACATTAATATATTTTGTCTCTAGCACAAAGAATACATTGATAACTTTAAAGAATGATGTTAAGAAACTTTCAGAAAAGTAAGTTGAAAGGTTTATATTTTAGTGACTATGAGTGCATGTATCATCTTCGTTCACTTGGTTAAAAGGTTCTGCTATGTGGTGGTTTGAATGAAAATGGCCCCACAGGTCCATAGGGAGTGGCACCTATTAGGAGGGATGTCCTTATTGAGTTATATGTGGTTTTTGTTGGATGAAGCGTGTCACTAGGGAGTCGGGTGGGTTTTGAGATTCCAGATGCTCAAGTCATGTGTGGGATTCACTTCCTGCTGCTTTGCAGATGCAGGTGTAGAACTCTGAGCTACCTCTTCATCACCATGTCTGACTGCACGCCACCATGTTTCAAACTCAAGTAATCTAACAGGTTGGTACCTAGCACCAGTTTCCAGGTTACCTCCCAACAAGACCCGTGTCTAGCAACAGTCTCCAGTGTATTTCTCCAACAAATCTGCACCCCCAGGTTACAAGCCCACTCCTGGCACTTCACTTTTAACAACCACCAATCAGGAAAAACAGAAGTTTATGGTTTTGCTCCCAGCACCAGCTTATAGTGTTAAGGGCCACAGTGCCCCCCCCCCGACCCCTGACACACACACACACACACAGTTAGATGGTTGCCAAGCTAGAAACACTCACCCTTCGCTTCTCAGTTTCTATAAAACCTTGTCCCCATGAGAGCTCAGGGCTTCTCTACCAAAACCTCCTGTGGGTCTATTGTGAGTTAAAACCCAAGCTGGAGCTTGTAAATAAAGACCCTTTGTGATTGCATCAGATCTCAGCTCCTGATTGGTATGTTGGAGTTCACAAATTTTTCCTGGTACTACAATTCCTGACCACCAGATGTCTCAGTATGAACTAAATTATTTTGTGCTGGTTTACACTGGTTCTACCATTCTGCCTCAGTTTCTTTCACTGTGATATTATCTCTTTAGCACTGACACTGAAGTATAAAAATACTAGAATGAAGATGCTTAGTGTATTTCCTGATATATCAGAAGTACTTGGTGACTTTCATTACTGGCCTAATTATTACAGGATAAAATGCTTGAGAGTTTATTCTTTTATTAGTTCCTTACTACTTTCCACCCATGCATGTTTTGAAATTGGGTATTTGCTCTACATTATTCAGATTTTTTTCTATGGAAAATTCAATTATATTGCATTTTAGAGAGTGTTCTACTATCTTTAGAAAGATATACAATGTGCAGTCACAACCTGGAAATTTTGATCAGTGTCAATTTGAATGACACTACCTACAATCTTTCTTTTGGGTAAAAATATAATAGATTTTGAAATGCTTATATAATTCCATTTGTTATAATCTAAATTATTTATATGTGAAATTTCCTTGGTTTTCCCTGATAACTGGCTTCTGTTTAGACACTGCCCTTGCCCTGTGGTTTTCTGTCATCAGTGAATCCATTAACTCCGCCCATAGTGAAGGGCAGGTGTGAGTGCTCGCCCCTTTTCTCTATTTATTAGTTTATCTTTGTTTTTAGTCGGTTGTGTGGTTTAGAAGTCAGTGGTTGTAAAATGAACTGACTTTAATCGAGTCATAAAAGTCAAGCTTAGATATTTTCGAGTTGCCCTTTTCAGCTGAGTAAACTCCTTAACAATCTTGAGTACAAATTTACACAAATCCTAATTAAGGTGCAGTCATGTTAATCATTTCAGAGTCTATTCACTATTATTTAGACCCAAATGATGGTTATAAAAATATAACTGAGCACTAAGTAACTCATACTTCTGTGGTTTTATTTCTTTAAACCCAGGAATAGATGTAAATAATAAATCAACACACATACACACACACACACACACACACACACGCACACATGCACACACACGCAAATATAATATTGTTTTTCTGGGAAGCACATCAAAGTTGGCTTTCAGTAGGAAAATAATTTTCAGGTTTCTTTCATAGTCAAGAACTACAAAATGCTCCAGGAAACGACTTAAAAGGACTTTTTGTCTAATACTGAGAAATAAAAGCTGGAAAGCCTTGTGTTTGAAAGAACACACTGACATGAATGATAAGCCGGTATGTTTACACTGGCTACCTGTAGATTAGCATGTTAAATGACCTATAATGTAAGTTAAACTTTTTTTGTGGTTAAATGTGAGGAATTTAGCTTTTGAAATTTGTGATATACATTTTGGAAAATTTTAAGCAACTTGTATCCTGTTTTCCACAATGACTATACTGAATTATATCTACACATACGGTATGAGAGGTCACCTGTCTCTGTATATCCTCAGCAGCACACCTGCTAACATTAGTCTTCCGGATAAGAACTCCCGCCCTGGTAGGATAACATCTTAGTATGGGGATGTGGTTTGAATTTGCATTCTCCTGCTGAACACAGGGTGTAATGCTAGCCCTGTAGAATTACATAGGTGGTAGGGGTTTCATCCTTCTCCGATTTCTGTTTATGAGAGCTCCTGTTATCTCTTCCTTAAGAGTTTAGTGTTTTATAAGTACATTGAGATATGATCACATTTCATCATATACATGCACAAAATTCTCAAGTATAAAGTTTTTGTTTTATTTTTAGTTTAGAAACTTTGCCTCCTTAGTTTCTCTTTGCCAAGGAACTGATTCAACCTGCTATTTGCTCCTGGTCTGTTCAAATGTTTATGTCCCTCTCATTAATTTGTATAGGTCAGATATGTCCAGAAGCTTATCCATCAGTTCAAGCTTTGTCAGTTTGTCAGCATATAGTTGTTTGTAGCAATACCTAATGACTGGTTACCTTTATTTCTGTGGTAATAGATTTAGGGTCTACAATTTCATACCTAACTTTACTTATTTGAGATTTTTTTCTTTTATTATGATTTTCCCCCTCCCAGTTCCTTCCCACCTCCCTCTTCATTTGGATGCACTCCATTTCTGTCTCTCATTAGGAAACAAACAGGTTTCTAGGGGATAATGGTAAAATAAAACAACATAAAACAAAAGCTAATACATGGGAATAGGGCAAAGCAAATATGGAGAAATAAAAGAGCCCAAGAAAAGGCAGAAGAAAAAGCTGTAGATGCAGAGACACACTTGTTCACATGCTCAGGAAGCCCATAAGAACACCAAACTGTGTATGAGAATATATAGGCGAAGGACTTGTAAGGTAAAAAGAGAGAAAATATATACATATTAATGTGTGTATATATAATAAAATAAAATATAAGAAGCTAAGATAACATCCTTTCAAGCCCTAACACGATAGTATAGGACAAGATAAGATACCAGTGAGTTCATTTCCTGCTGGCCATCTACTGCCTGGCATGTGGCCTACCTTTAAGAATGGTTTGATTCCCCAGTGAATCTTCCTTGGAGAAAACTGGATTTTCATTTCCAAGTGGCTTTCAATTAGAAATTGCTTCTGGGTTACGATTGGAGTCGGTGTCCGCTTTGCTCTTCTCTCATACTGATGAGGTTGGCTAGAGGTTTGCCAATTTTGCTTTCTCAAAAGTCTAATTTTAAAATTTATATTTTGTTTTTAGTGCATGAGTCTCATAGTTTTGCTTTATCTGTTACTTCTTTCCTGTTACTAATTTGAGATTTGATTTACTCTTTGTTACCTAGGTCTTTGAAATGCATCCAACATGTTCTTTATCTGAAATCTTTCTATTTTTGATACAGGAAATTATTACTATACACACCCCTCAGTAGGAAGTTGCTGTATTCTGTAAGTTTTGAAATGTATTTTCATTTATTTTCAGAACTTTTAAACATTAAATTTTTACATTTTGATGACTTGTTGTATTTTTCAAAATATGGTGTTTAGTCACCACGTGTTTGTGTAATCTCAAACGTTTTGGTCTATTCTTCACTTTTATCTTTATGCATTGTGATCAGAAGATGTTCTGAATGTAGTAGGAAATTTGGTGAATATCTTAAGGCTTGCTTATAACCTAATATGTGGTCTAGTCTGGAGAAAGTTGTATGTGCTAATGACAGCCATATGATCTCCAGATGCTGGCTGTAATAAATGACCATCTTATTCATTCACGGTATACGTTAGCAATTTCTTTGATGAAATGTCCTAATCTGTACATTGATCAAAGTAAGATGCTGAACTCCCTCAGTAATATTACATTGGCACATATTTCTCGCTTTAGGCTTAATGGTGCTATTTTATAAAGTTGGGCAAGTCCACATTAGATGGACATAGATATATGTCAGTATATTTTCCTGAACTGATCTAGTGAACATTATTTAGTGATCTTTGTTTTTTCTTGACATTTAATCTTAAAGTCTACCTAGAAGCAAATCATAAATGTAGCTATTTCGAGTGTCTTTGGGGTTAAACTCTCTAAGAAAATCATCCTGTATCCTTGTACTTTCTGCATGTGGTTTTCCTGACTTGGTGTGTGATTTTATTGTATTGTTAGGGTTTTCTTTTAACTTTCAATCCAGTCTGAATCCGTTTACTTCAGAATTTAATCTGTTTACATTGAATGTATTATTTAAATGTAAAGACTTACATTTTCCGTATTTTTCTTCCAATTATGGAAATACTCCTTCCCCCTTATTTTATATTTACCATATGTGGCTTGATGATTGTGTTGATAACATTTGATCCTTTGTATTTGTATCTTGTGCATCTTAATTTTTGGTGGGACTTTTCAAGTGCTTTTGTGATGTCATTTAACTTTCTTTTGCTTATGGATATAGGACTGTATCAATTTTTTTCTAAGTTTACTTTACTGATCATGGACTCTCAGTCTATGTTTTGAAAGGTCTTTATTTACCAATTATTGTTGAAGGATATTCTTGCTCACCATAGTATTCTTCTCTGACAGTTATTTTCCTTCAGGATTTGTAATACATCTCTAAATTTCCCAAACCTTTTGTGGTCTTTCTGGTGTTAATCTAATGGAGGATATCCTCGTGCGTGGCAATGTTTGTTTGTTTGTTTGTTTTTTCCTGTTTGAGAGCTTTTTATCTTGTGCTTTTGAAAATTTGACTGTCATATGGTGTGATGAAGATTTTTCTATTCATGTCTTTTTGTGGTTCTATGGGCTTGTTGGCTAAGAATATACATAACTTTCTTCCCAAATTAAAAATGGTACTATTATTTCATTGAATAGGTTTTAAATATCTTTAATCTTCAAATCTTTTCCTTCGGCATTCCAAAACTTCAGATATTTTATTTAATGGTATGCCAAAGACTTGGAAGGATCTCTTCAATTCTTCCCCTTTTCTTCTTTCATCTTTCTTCCTCTTCTTCCTTTTGTTCTCACTATCAATTGCTTCCATATGGTTGTGATAAGAGCTGACCACTGTAACTTACAGGAGAAAGCTTTGGTTTAACTTACAGGTCTGGAGGAAAGAGTTAACCATCATCCCAGTGAGAAGCATGACAGTAGACAGGAAATGATAACTGACACGGCATGCCAGGAGTGCACATCTTAAAGTACAAGCAGCAAGCAGAAGGGGTGAATTGGGAATGCTATGTGACCTTTGAAACCTTAATGTTTGTCTTTAGTGACATACTTCTAAACTTCTTAAACCCATCTAAACAACATCATCAACAGTGGACTAAATGTTCCAACAAGTGAACCTGTGGGGGACATTCTTATTCAAAACACTATAATCTGTCTAGAGTATTAAAATAAAATTTAAGTTCAGCCATTCTTCTGCTTGGTGAGATCTGTTTAATGATGCCATTTTTTCTTGGTCATAATTTCCTTCTCTAATCAATTTCTCATTCCAGTCTGATATGAACTGCCTTCCTAATTTTATTTACTGTCCACCTCCATCATCTTTAATAAGATTGACTATTTCTTTACAATTATTTTATAAGAAGGAATCAAAGTGAAACTATTTTGAATAAAACTTCCATTTTGAATAGGAGTGAAGATTTTTTTCCCAATCTGTAGGTTGCCGATTTGTCTTACTGAGTATGTCCTTTGCTCACAGAAGCTTTCCAGTTTCATGAGGTCCCATTTATCAATTCTTGATCTTAGAGCATGAGCCTTGGAGTTCTGCTTAGGAAATTTCCCCCTGTGCCAATGAGTGCTAGGCTCCTTCCCACTTTCTCTACTATTAGATTCAGTGTATCTAGTTTTATGTGAGGTCCTTGATCCACTTGGATTTGATCTTTGTGCAAGGTGACAAATATGGGTCTATTTTCATTTTTCTACATGCAAACAGCCAGTTAGACCAGCACCATTTGTTGAAGATGCTTTCTTTTTTCCACTGTATATTTTTGGTGTCTTTATCAAAGATCAAGTGTCCGTAAGTGTGTGGTTTTATTTCTGGGTCTTCAATTCTATTCCATTGATCAATGTGTCTGTCTCTGTACCAACGCCATGCAGTTTTTATCACTATTGCTCTGTAGTAAAGCTTAAAGTCAGGAATGGTGATCCCTCCCAGCTGTTCTTTTATTGTTAAGAATTGTTTTCGCTAGTCTGGGTTTTTTGCCTTTCCAGATGAATTTGAGAATTGGCTTTTCCATGTCTTTGAAGAATTGTGTTGGGATTTTTATGGGGATTGAATTGAATCTGTAGATTGCCTTTGGTAGAGTGGCCATTTTTACTATATTAATTCTGCCAATCCATGAGCATTGGAGATCTCTCCATCTTCTGAGATCTTCAGTTTCTTTCTTGAGAGACTTGAAGTTATTGTCATACAGGTCTTTCACTTGTTTGGTTAGAGTTACCCCAAGATATTTTATATTTGTGGCTATTGTGAAGGGAGTTGTTTCCCTAATTTCATTCTCAGCCTGTTTATCATTTGTATAAAGGAAGGTCACTGATTTATTTGAGTTAATTTTACATCTGGCTACTTTGCTGAAGTTGTTTATCAGCTGGAGAAGTTCTCTGGTAGAATTTTTGGAATAGCTTATGTATACTATCATATCATCTGCAAATAGAGATTCCTTTATTTTTTTTTACCAATTTGTATCCCCCTTGATGTCTTTTTGTTGTCTTATTGTTCTAGCTAGCACTTTGAGTACTATATTGAATAGATATGGGGAGAGTGGACATCCTTGTCTTGTCTCAGATTTTAATGGGATTACTTCAAGTATCTCTCCGTTTAATTTGATATTGGCTGTTGGTTTCCTGTGTATTGATTTTATTGTGTTTGGTATGGGCCTTGAATTCCTGATCTCGCCAATATTTTTAACATGAATTACCCAAGACCTCCCTGGGTAACTGAGCAGAAAAAGGGAGAAGGAGGGAGGGAGGAAGGGAAGGAGGGAGGGAGGGA